CTGTGGTGGTGGCCATACCTCGCGGAAGGCAATCTTGAGCTCCCTCACGCCCACCATGTGGGCCGTCTCCTCCCGCAGCTTCGGCCCCATCATCTGCACAAAGTCCTCAAAGTCCACGCGGCCACCCACTGTGTGAGGGAAAGGGACAACCTCAGTGCCCCACGCCCCAGCCCCTCTGGCCCTCTCCTCAGCCCTATGGCAGCCGGTCCCCCACTCACTCCTCATCTTGATGTGCTGGGAGATCTCGATGAGTTCCATCTCGGTGGGCATGTAGCCCAGGGTGCGCATGCAGGCGCCCAGGTCCTTGTAGCTGATGTACCCGTCCTGGTCCGTGTCAAACTCCTTGAAGGCGTCCAGCAGCTCTGCCCACACACACGGGCACATGTGGGCACACAGACCCCATCAGGTGTGGGGGTCTCCCAGGCACTGTGCCACGCTGGGGCAGGTCCCTCCCTGGGTGCAATGCCATGGCACGTGGCCTCGTGGCACTGGGCCTCATGGCAGACCCCTTCATGGCACGTGTCCCCGTGGCACTGCACCCCATGGCAGATCCCTCCATGACAACATGCCCCCATGGCGCTGCACACCATGGCAGATCCCTTCATGGCACGTGTCCCCATGGCACTTCACCCCATGGCAGATCCCTCCATGACAATGTGTCCCTGTGGCACTGCACCCCATGGCAGATCCCTTCCTGGCACGTGTCCTCATGGCACTTCACCCCATGGCAGATCCCTCCATGACAATGTGTCCCTGTGGCACTGCACCTCATGGCAGATCCCTCCATGACAACGTGCCCCCATGGCTTTGCAGCCCATGGCAGATCCCTCCATGAGAACATGCCCCCCATGCCCACAGCCCACCCCAGCCTCCTATGCCCCCCATCTCCACTCACCATCCAGCTCCTCTGGCGACAGCTCCCGCTCCTGGGCCGGATGCACGTGGGGTGGGAGCAGAATCAGCCCCAGCTCAGCCCCAACCCCCCTTCCCCCAGCAAACCGTGGTGTCACCTTCATTAAGCGTGGGCCAAAATTAACTCCAGTGGGAGGGATTAGAGGGATTGGAGGCAAAGCCCTGCCCTGCCCTGTGCTTGCACGCCTGGTCCCCATGTCCCACCTCCTGCTACCCACCCTGGGGCTGCCCCAGCCTGGGACCCCCGAGATCTGAATGGGATTTGCCCAGCACCCATGGGTGCTGCCGAGGGTGCTTCTTACTCAGGGAGGTGGGGGAACAGCACATGTCCCCCTGCAGAGGACTGCTGGCTCAGCTTCCCCTTCCCAGGTTGTCCCCCTGGGTGTTCCCTCCGTCCTCAGGGGTGTCCCCAGCACCATCCCCAGTGTACCCGTGTCCCCTCCATCCCCAGGGTCCCAGAGTGTTCCTGACCATGTCTCCAATGCCCCATGTCCCCTCTGTCCCCAAGGTCCTGGAGCATCCCCAACCTCGTCCCTGTGTCTCCACGTCCCCTCCATCCCAAGGGTCCCAGATCATTCCCAACCTCATCTTCACTGTCCCCATGTCTCCTCTGTCTTCAAGGTCCCAGAGTGTTCCTGACCATGTCCCCAGTGCCCCATGTCCCCTCTGTCCCCAAGGTCCCAGAGCATCCTCAACCCCATCTTCACTGCCTCCATGTCCCCTCCATCCCCAGGGTCCCGGACCGTCCCTTTTCCCATCCCCACCACCCCCATGTTCCCTCCATCCCAAGGGTCCCAAAGCATCCCCGACCTTAGCTCTGTGTCCCCGTGTTCCCTCCGTCTCCAGGGTCCTGGAGCATCCCCAACTTTGTCCCCATGATGTCCCCTCCGTCCCCAGCACTCCCTCCCCACCCCGTGCCCTGCCTG